TTGCAACCACAGATGAAGTTGCTTTGTTATTCCTAGCAATGGTCGTGGTGCTAAGACCATCATCATCATCACCACCATCACCCTCTGATCACCTAACCTTCCCAGTACCCGTATGTTAGGAGCTAGGGTTACTCTCATCTTGCAGACAGGGAACAACTGAAGCCCAGAGAGTAATCCGTCCTCAGCTCCACATCCTGGCTGTGCTGGGATTTGAGCCCAGACCCCACTGCTGACACTCTCAGCCATGGGTGCTCCTACGCCAGTTTCGGTGCCGAAGGGTGACTGGAGGCTACTTCAGCACTGCGTACGTATGCTCCATCAGCCCCACGATGTTAATGGCGGGGATGATGGGGGCGGTACTGGACCCCACGGTGAGGAGGAAAGCTGGACACGGTGGTCTTTCAGCTGGGCACCTTGCCCCTTCGCATAAAATCTGAGTTCTCTTAGGAAGAAAGTAGGGGAGGTACTTGGGTATTAGGACTCCTTTTGACATTCAAAACGTGACTTGGGTTTATGGTGTCTCACATCACTATGGCCCTGCCTTCCCCACCGAGGGCCTTCACAAGCTGGGTCCATGGTCCCACAGTCCCTGTGAGGAACACAATATTAAATGGTGTATCTGGAGGGAAGCCCAGGGATAAGGGAAGAGTGGCTGCGTCTTTTCTGAAGGCAAGGAAGATCTCCCAGTCCTGCAATTCACTCCAGAATTATGGCCCGAGTTCTTTGTAGTGATCCATGTGACAGCTCTGCAAGCTCGTGTGGGACTGGGGGGTGTGGGAAGGATGGTTTTCATTCATTAGAATTCCTGGGGGGGACCCACTTTCCCTCTAAATTTCCCCCTCCAACTTGAATCCTCTAAGGAATTCCCTCGAAGGAAATTCTCCAGCATGTCCTTTTCATCGAGAGAACACAGTCCATGTCACTTCAGAGAACATTCAGCAAGGCAAGTTCATAGCTTTGGAATCCATCACACACACACCGAGGAAACTTCCTTCTCAGGCCTCTTGGAAAGGCTTTCCAAGTAGATTGTAAAGAGGTCCAGTGTGGTTGTTCACCAGCCAGAGGCGTGTCTGCACCCAAGTGAGCCTTTGTTCTTCCCTCTGCAACCCTGAGGCCCTTACGCCCCTGTCGTGTTGCCTCCAAGACACAAGCTCTGTGCCCCCCTTTCCAGGTTGGCATCGAGTCGGGTCCAGAGACTGTGCCAAGGGTGGAGCCAGGAAAAGCAAAGAGGTCTGACTCGTGAGGTAGGAGCTCCAACCCGGTCTTAGCTTCGCCCAGCAGAGAGGAAAATGCCACGAAGAGAACAAGTCAGACCCCAGGTACTCGCTCGTGAACCCTCAGGTCTCCTCTTCACGGACGCAGGCCGCACGTGTGACGGGAAGTGCATCCCATAGTCACTGGGTGCGCTGGTTTCCACAGCCGCTCGCCCACCAGCAGGGTGACTCAGCAGAAGGGGCTCCCCTGGGTTACAGAAGTGAATACGAGAAAAATCACGTATTTCTTATTGGAAATACAGGCTGGGGCTTCCCCGCCTGGCTGTTCTCTCCACATGCAAGGAGTCGGCCGGTGGGGGCACTGCTGGGGGACGAATTCCCTGAGAGAATCCCACCCTTCTATCCAGGACTCAGAAATCTGGAAGTCCCATTCATTCATTCACTGATTCTATAAATATACTGAGCATCTTCTACACACCAGGCACTGTCCAAGGCAAGGAAGGGTGGCAGGGAATGAGGCAGATTAAGTCTCTGCCCTCAGGAAGCTGACATTCCAACGGCAAAGTGGTGTGTAGCCAATGCCAGGGACGGGCAGTGCTCTGGGGACAGTGTTCTCCTCGGCTGGGAGCTGGGAGCAGGGCAGACACGGGGGCCTCAAGGCCTGTCCGTGCATACGACTTCACCCTTTTTACAGCCAAGAGGTTAATCCACCGTATGATTCCAAACAGCAGTTCTCCTAAATGGATTGAATGAGCAGGGTACAGAGTGTTGACCACCAAAATGGTTAAATCTTTCTATGTTCATGATTTAGAAACGCAGTGCACTCTACTCAGCCCCTTACTTTCACTATGGGGCCAGTGGAAGCCAAGGGATTAGGTTTGAAATGAAAAGACCTGGTGTTATTTTTATTACAACATCTCCAGGGATGATAGATCAATTCCATCTCGCCAACTTCCAGCAATTGGTACTGAATCCCAGACATCCTGTGTCGAGAAGAAATGAGACGCTAGCTTCAGATTCTGTGTGAGAGTGTCACTAAGGCCTGCCCTGGGCCCAGGAGCAAGGGCAGCCCGTGTGTACAGTGTGCCCTGGCCCAGGTCTAGGCGGACAGTCCCAGCTCTGATGCTGAGCCCTCTGCAGATCTCAAAATATGAGCAGACTTATAAAAAAGTCTGTCTATAAAATTAAAATATGGTGATTAAACAAGGTACACATCACACAACACTGCAGAGAGAGGAAGAAATGGGATGGTGTCAGGTGCTAAAAATATCCCACAGACCCTCCTAATGCATCACAATTTTCCAAAGGGTGGAGCCACTGAGCTGATGAGTGACAGGAAGGGGAGTTGGGGTGGCATGTGTGTATGTTCCATTTCTAGAATTCAGATGCCAGTTTCCTTGTTTGGGGGAAAAAGTGTTTAAAACAGATAAAACACAAGGAAAATGGAAAGTTGTTCAATTAATGTTGTCAAGGTTACAAGGCTCACATAATTAACATTGCAGCGCTTTGATGTAGAGATGCTCCACATGCTTTGTGGAGCCTGTTTGAAGTTTCTGACTGCTGCCACCGTCACCATCATCACCATCTTCATCAGCACCGTCATGACCACCATCACCATCATCATCTCCATCTCCATCACCATCATCATCTCCATCACCATTACCATCATCAGCATCATCATAATCACCATCACGAGTACCATCGTTACCATTATGGTGATTAATGTCAACAAGCATCCCGGAGTAATTGTGAGATTCTAGAGCAAGCCTGAGTCAGGTCAGCGGGAGCAGACAGTGAGAGAAGCCTCATAAACGGCGCCTTTCTCTCTGCCTCCTCTGTACACAGTTATAGGCAACCAGGAGCCCGGCATTTTATGCACCAGCTGTAGTGTCACCTCTGTCCCCGAGTTCTACCCAGAGCCTGACCTCGTGAGTCAATTACAGCTGTTTTCATCGTGCTCGTCGGCCTCCAGCATCCCCCCGGCCCCGCTTTCAACAAAGGGTGGATTCCCATGAACTCGCTTCTTTATTGCCAGCTGGTTCCGATTAGGGATGAACCAGTAAAACGAGGGGGTAATACAGTCGCAGTATGTTCCTAAATGTAGCACTTTTCCATGTGTTTTGATTTACCAGTTGACCAATAAAACCCAGTCCTTCAACAAGGTGGATCCCACACCTCACATGTTTTACTTATTTTGGTAAATGTAGCTTTTTAGAAATTGAAAAAAGATGGGGGGTGACTCGGGTCGATTATATCTCTTGCAGTGTGTGCATGTGTGTGCGCATAAGAGTTTGTATAAGTGTATGAATGAGTGTAGGGGTATGTGTGTGAGTATGTGAGAGCTTGTAAAGGTGTGTGTGAGTGTGTATGTGTGTGGGTATGAGTGTGCACCATGGTCAGAAGCTGGGTCCCTCTGGCAGGGTATTAGGCATTGATTTCGGAGCATCTAATATTTCTATCCAAATACTCCCCGTCAGCACCCTTGGTTAAATGGACTATGAATCTAAGAAGAAATAACAACAGGGATGTTTCCTCCCTCATCTTGTTAACTGGGCCCTTCCCTCCAAAACATCTACCTGCCACCTGCTTGTCAGCTCCCCTGTGAAGGCAGCTGTGTCTCAACAATCTTCCTTTCCCTTGAGCTGGATGGAACTGTTGACTATTCAGGCAGCAGGACTTTTGTCTGAAGTAGAGAAAGCCCCACACAGTAGCTTTCTGGCCTGGGAGCAGCTCTGTAGGCTTCCAGTTGGAATGAAGGACAGTGTCTTAAACACAAAGAAATGGCTTGGGAAAATTAGTACCAGGATGCTTTGGGTACCACTCAGAAGACCCTAACTCAGTCTAGAACAGGAGCCAGTGATGGGAGGGAAGATTCCTAACCCACAAAGCTCCGTGAGCCCCTCGCTCCTTGCATCTGTGCTCTGTTCCACGGGGGCCAGCCTGCGTGTCTGAGACAATGCTGTTCACGGCTGAACCTCCAGCCAAGTGCGGTGCAGGCACGCAGCTGGCGCTCCGTGTATGCTTGCTCACTGGGTGCAGGATCAGAGAGGGCACGGGGAGAGGCCTAGGAGAGGTTTTCTGAGGGAAGCGGATTTGAGTTTGGTACTGTGGATTCCATCCAGGAGGAGAGAAAGGAGGTTTTAAATGAGACTTGGACCTGACCGTTGGGATCAAAAAATCACAAGGGGACTTGGAGACCACCCAGCCTGCTCTCCTGCGACGCACGGAGCACTGTGCCTTTAAGAACAGGAGCATTGTACATTATAATCTATCATTCATTCATTCAGAAACGAAACTACAATGTTGAGTCCCTGCCCTCGTGGAGTTTACCCCCCAGGTGGGAAAAAACAGAAAGTCAACAAGTAAACAAGCAGGAAAAACAGGTGATGAGCAGAGCACCACACAGGACGATTAGCACGATCACTGTCTCTAGAAATTCCCGAAGCCAAACCTCAGGGAAGAGACGGGAAGAGCGTTCCAGGGAACCGCGAGCGCACAGGTGATGCCAAGGTGCACCAGGTAGGGAGCCACTGCTCAGGTAACAGGGAGCATCCTCGGGTGTTAAGCACGAGAGCTGGCTTATCTGAAATCTGTGCCCCCAAAGTGTGCTCAGGCCTTTCGGTGTGAGGACGGTCACGGCCACGGGGCAGACACGGGTCTTTGGTTTGAACATGATTATCCATTAAAACTTAATAATGCAGGTTTTTTCCTCCATTTTTCCTTAAACTTAGCAAGTTTTTCTGGCATTCAAAGAAGAAAAAACAAACCAATACAAATATCCCTTACTTGTATCTTTGCACAAGACAATGTGCAGAGGAAACGTCCAGTTGCTTCCTCTTCCAGGGGTCACTGCAGAAGCTGAACTCCGTGTCTCATGTGATCACGGCAGCCCTGATGCTTGAGGCTGAGTCGTCACTCTCAGTAGGAGAATCGAAATAAGGTCAGTCTTCCCACTGGGCCAACCTGCGTGAAGAGGGCACTTCATTGTTTTAAGGTAGTTCAAAGGTGGTGGAAAAAAATCCCTATAAAAACAAGCAGGAGTTTATTAAAACTCTAATGAGTATAAAGTTGCAGACACAGCGATTCATTCCTGGACATGGTTCCTGGGTTCATTTCTTTCCGCTCCCACGTGGAGAGATATCACCGGATAGAGGCACCAAGCAGACGGAGCCGGCCCAAGTGCTCCTGTGCAAGCCTTGCCTTACACTCCCCAGAAAATGGGACCGCGTCCTGGGAGAAGGCCTCTGCGTGTTACGTCTCCCATAGGAGTGATTCAGTTTCTCACCACCACTAGTCGGACCGTCATGACACAAGTAGCTGGGGGTGGGGCTGTCCAGCTTCCTGCTCGGTAGCCAATATTTAACGCCAGCCGGCCATGCTATGAGTAATGACACCAGGGGGAAACCAGGCACAAACTACGGACCTGCGGGCACCCTATTTCTAATGCTGCTCCTGGGGGCGGCCACTGTTGACAGTTTGGAGCATGTGCTTCTGCAAGCCTGGCAATGGTGGATCGAGAAGAGGCATTCTGCTACTGCGTGAATTCTTGAGAACTGCCCAGCCTAGCAGCTGCCTTTATGTCGCCATCCTCACAGCGGAGCAGAAGTGGTACAGAAAGGGGTCGAGTGTGTGGGTGTATGAAGTATGTGGACATGCGTGCTGTGCCTCACTGGGGCGAAGCCAGGAGAACAGCAATATACTCATATTTTAGGTCTATGCTCAACAGTCACGCTTACGTCCCACTGGATGGTCACTGTCTGATATCAACCGGGGGATGGGTCCCTGATAGCTACTTTCACTGCCTCCATCAAATGCGGTTTGTAACTGTTGATAATGACGATGATGATGGTAGTGAGACAGGTGACGATGGTGATGATGATGGTGGTGGTGGTAATGAGACTGGTGATGATAATCATAAGATGGTGATAATGGCGATGGTGATAATAGTGTCAGTGATGGTGATAGTGATGGTGATGACGATGATGGTGGTGATGACTAACACGTATATGGTGATGGTGGTGATGGTGATGGTGATGATAACGATGGTGATACTGATGATGGTGGTAATGACTAACACGTATATGGTGATGGTGGTGATGGTGGTGATGATGATAACGATGGTGATACTGATGATGGTGGTAATAATGTCAGTGGTGATAGCGATGGTGATAGTGATGGTGATGATGGTGATGATGGTGGTGATGATAACGATAAGGTGGTGATAATGGCAATGGCGATAGTAATGTCAGTGGTGATAGTGATGGAGATGACGATGATGGTGGTGATGACTAACACGTATATGGAACTCACAGGTGCCAGGCCCCGGTCTAAGCCCTTTGCATACATTAACCTCTTTAGTCCTCATAATTACCCTGTGAATGAGGAATTATAATTGTCTCCATTTCACGGGTGAGGAAACTGAGGCCGGAAGAGTGCAGACCCTCGTCCAATCTCCAGACATTTTAGAAAAACTCACTCTGGGAGCAGCGGCACAGAGGAGTTAAAATAAAAGGTTTTGTTTCTTTGGAAGCAGTAAACATAACTATAAAAACTTGTTTTTTAGCTCATTTGGAAACTGAAGGTCAGCAGGGTCACCTTGCCTTTTCTTTTCTTTATTTCTTCCCTTTTTATGTATTTACTTTTAAATATTTGAGCCTCTGTTTCACTGATGGTCTGTGAAAAATATTTGTCCCTCTCGAGGTGTTTATTCACCCTGGAAAACTGGCTGCCGTCCAAATGCTGTGTTTTCCAACTATCAATGTAAACTAAGGATTCACATTCTCAGAACAGTTAGGTATTGTTCATTCATTAAAAACCCTTTAAACCTCACGCTGTTTATCTCTTTGCTTTTACCTTGTTTATCGTACAAAAAACAGCACAAACACGAAATGGAAAACAGACAAGACAGACGGAGTGTGTTTAGGATTTTCCATAGGTCCTCGACGTTTTCCAGTGACGTGGAAGCGGAGGGTAGACGGGTGAAGAAACGACCGATTGCTGTCGGCACACAGTGCAGAGCATTTGAGAAACCAGGGCACCACCCAGGGCCTCAGGTGTCCGCTGGGAGCAGCTGGCCGTGGGTCCTGACTGGGCTTGTGCTCCACGCGGATCCTTCGCAAACCTTCATGGTCCCTCAGCAGGGCCCCATGCTACGTGCCCAGGGCAAAACTGGGGAGAAACCTGAAATCCAGGGACCAGAGGAACTTCGGTCTGGGCCAGGGAGTGAGCAGAAATTAAACAGGAGCACTCTATGACGGGTGACGGCAGAAACCATTCCGTTGTATTTTCTTTTCCTGAGCGCACAGAGGAGTGCGTGTATTTCTCTTCCCCCTCCCAGGTAGGCTGGGGCCAGGTGATTAGGTCTGACCAATGGGCCGTGAGCAGTGACCCCTGGCACTTTGGGTCAGAGGCAGTTAGGGCAGGACTGAGTTCGTGACACTCTCTCTCCTCCTGGCTGTGCCCAGAGCGGAGCCCCCACCCACCTGGGTCCCTAACTGGGGATGGGGAACAAGGCCCCAAGGAATTTCTTTGAACATGGACCCTAAGTGAGAAGTAGACCTTCGTTGTGTGACGTCACCTAGGTTCTGGGGTTGTCACTCGCCCATCCGCTGATACAAAGGGGCAACCCCACAGTGCTGTGGGGTGCAGGGGAAGGTAGCGGGTGGAGACGGTGGTCAGCACGGGCGTCCCCAGGCTGTGAGGGGTAAACTGAGCCGCAAAGGAGTCGGCCAGGTGATAAACAGAGGGAGAGCGTCCCTGCAGAGGGGGCAGCTTGTGGAAACGTTGACGGGCGAGAACCTGGCACATCCAAGGCAACGCGGACGGTCCAGCCGGGAGGAGAGGGCACAGGTGCGGCTCACAGGTGGAAGGAGCTGGGGCCTTGAAGACCATCGTAAGGTCGTGGTCTTAGCTCAGGCTGCCGTGACAAAGTACCGCAGACTGGGGGACCAAAACCACAGACACGCTTCTCACGGCTCTGGAGGTCGGAAGCATGAGATCAAGGAGCCGGCAGGTTTGGGTCCATGGTGAGATTGCTCTTCCTGGTTTATAGACGACGGCCTTCTCCCTGCGTCCTCCTCCTCTTCTGTGAGGGCACTGATCCCACCACGAGGGCCTCAACCTCTTAACTTCACCTAAACCTAATCACCTTGGAATTACACCTGCGAACACTGCCACATTTGGGGTTAGGGCTTCAACGTGTGAATCTGAGTGCGGCGGAGCAGAGCGTGGGGGACACAGTTCTACAGCATTGTGAAAACCGGAGAGAGTCATTAGGATGCTCTGAGCAGGGGTGACACAACCACACTGCATGGTAGCCCAGTGAGGCCTGGAGGCTGGAGAGGAACGGACTGTGGGGGGAAACTCCAGCTCCCTCTTTCACCCACGCACACATATATTCCATTGATACGTACCGAGGACCTAGTGCATGCCAGGCACTGTCCTAGGTGCTGGGGACATGGCAGGGAGCAAGACAGACCCAGACCCCTGTCCTCGTGGAGCTCACACGTAGAGACACACGTGGGGCTGGGGGCACGGGTCGGGGGTCTGGGTTCTCTTCTGCCTATATGCTGTATGCCCATAAAATGCTGAGCACACTCAGGCGATTGTGTTCCAGGTAGAGGTCTGACAGTGTATCTAGGGATAGTCCCTTGGGGAGGTAGAATAGGAGCAGGTCACCTCACAGCCCAGGGACCCCAGCCTCCAGCCCTCTGCCGGCTGGCCCAGCAGCTCCCAGACGGACATGCTTCCCCGGAGGCCCTCGAGACACTTTCATGGTGCGTGGGTGACGCATCTGAAATGTATTAACTGGTTTGTACTTATAATAATGTATTTTAAGAAAAAAAAAAGACATAACCCACGCTAATAATTGTACTGTTTATGATGATGTTGAGTAAAAAATGAGAGAGGAGGGTGTCAATTCGAAGTCGATGCCAAGCAAATATTCATCAAAAGAGTCATGGAAGACGTGGCAGGAAGGTTAGTCACGGGGCAGCCGGGAGGGAGGCAGCGGCCCCCGCAGCTACAGCCGGGGCCACAGTGCAGGGGCGGAAGGGCTGCTGCCTGGCTCCCCAGCGCTCCCTTTCCTCCTCCACGAAATTAGGGCAAAACCCTCCCTGATCACCAGGTGACCATATCCCATCAGTACTGCAGTGACTTCTTACCGTGCAGACCAAAGCCAGTTCCAAAACTCATCCTGCAGAGCGTCTGAGCAAGAAAAAACCGAAGATAAAAATGAAACGGGGAGATGCTGCCCCCTGGGCCGCTTCTCAGACAAGCAGACGGAAGCAGGTGGTGGGCGTTCTCTGAGAACTTGGAGGCTTGGGTGACAGGTCGTGTGCCCTGCGCACCGAGGTCCACAGTGCCGGGGGAGGGCAGTTTCTACAGCAGAGACCACAGCTTCCGGTGGAACGTGCTCCTGGCCGCTGAAGAGACCCACCGGTGCCCTGTGTGCAGGGCAGGGGCGTGGACCCTTCCCTCGCTCTTGCCCTGTCTGGGCACCATGCCCACAGATGGTACAGATGTCATCAACTCTCAGTGTTTATTTTTTGCTTTTTCCACTGCACATGAAGTCAGCTATCGGGTCAGACACGTTTTGCTTTTTTAATTTAGCCTGGCCTGTGACTCCAGCGTTGAGACGGGATCTAAGGGCAGGCTCTATCTGCGTTGACACAGAAGCGCCAACTGTGTCTCTCTGATGACAAGAGAAAAGCAGTTTTCAAAAAAGGGGAGAGCACGTGCAAAGCAGAGGTGGGGTCTCCCTGCTGTGGAGGGTCCTGGGGAGGCGGCCACCGAGCCGCGTCTACAGGAGAAGGAGGGGTGCTGTGACCAGCCGGCAAAGCCTGGAACTTCTTTCCTTCTGTTTCCCCCGAGACGCATGGTGGGTGGTGGGGCGGCTGAGTCCCTGGGGTGCAGGGTGGAGCAGCTCAGCTTCCTGAAGGCCCCACAGCACACTGAGTGGCCCA